GTGTGTGTGTAGGAGGTGCTGTGCTCGCTGTCGGCTCAGTTTGCTGTTGAGTGTGACGACATCTGCAGAGAACAGCAGAAGAAAGTCAGCCAGGTATAAACACACACCTGTACAGACTCTGAGTGGTTCACACCTGGACACACAAACACTGACACTCTGCGTGTGTTTGTGTGTTTAGCTGAAGGAGGCGGAGCAAAGAGCAGCTCAGGAGGAGGAGCAGAGGAAGCTTCAGGTGAGTTTCATGCTGTTCCACCTGCACCACGTTTTAGCTCTGGATGAGGTTCAGACTTTCAAACGTTCATTTCAACATGTAAAGCTAATAAACTGTGTTATTGTGCAGGAGGAGCTGGAGGCGTTCGAGAAGCGGCAGCAGCGAGGAGGGCGGAGGAACAAGAAGCGGGGTAGAAGGGAGGAGGTGGACGACGAGCGCTCAAAGGCGGCAAGGTGGTGGAGGAGGTGTGCCGCCTTTGCCCTTGTCCCGCTGGGCGGCGCGCTGCTGTCTGCCGCCACCTACTACTACCTGCAGGAGTCGGCCTGAGCAGACGGCGGCGTGCAAGCTTCTGTTTCCTGCCGCCATTCAGACACTCGCTGCGACTCTTCCCTTGCGAACCTTGTGTTAACCGTAGCAGCAGTGGCTTTAGGTTAGGTTGGATGGTTAGAACTTTGAACACAGCGCTGCCTCATGTTTCAGAACAAAAGGAAGTTTCTCCTTTTTCATTCAGTGAAAAGTTTGATTGATTTTTAGTCTGAAAGCAGTGAAGAAAAACGTTAAAATAGCTGCTTTAAGTGTGACTCTGACGAAATTGTTGTGAGAGATGAGCTACGTGTGGTTTGTCACTCCGTCACATAAAGTAAGACTTTGTGACCATGGTAACAGGCATGACTGACTACGTCTGATCAAAACTTATGGGAAAGTGATTTTCCCCTCTGCTACCTACCAAATATCTCAACTATGTGAAAAAAGGTCAAATTATTTGGCCTGATCCTGATCCAGTGGTTCCCAAACTAAGCAGCACTGCAGTTTAATAATGTCCCATGAGGTTCCAGTGAGCCAGTCCTTTGTTTATTTGTCTAACATTACAGAAATAAACATGTTTACAATCTGATATAAATATATTTTTGGGTTCTATAGCGTAACACATGTACAGAAATGCAGTAACCAACAAGGTAATTGAGAGTATCAAAAACCTGAAACCTGTAAAAATAACCTACAGTGGAAGAAGGGGGCGGGGCTAAACAGTGTTTGTGGAGTTCCACATGGCTCTATCATAGGTCCTCTACTTTTTATTCTGGTTTAAATTATATTCTTGTTAAGTATGCTGTCTTTACCCCTTCATCACAACTGTAAGGTTGTTGGCTCTTACGATGTCTCACCTGTTTAAAGGGTTGACGTTTGCGTTAGTGGGTCGTGGTCTCTGTGGGACCTCTAGGCTGTCTTTATGCTGTTGGAGCCTTTGGAGACTGGGTCTGTTTCGTGGTGGAGGTTTAACTGGGACAGAAATAAAGATTTGGGAACCACTGGGTTGGTCTAGTTTCATCATCAGTTTCATGCACACTGACATGGAGCAGTGTTAGATCAGGCAGGCCATGAAGTCAGCTCATGCCTCACTACACATCAGTGTGGGGCGATATTGAAACTGCATATATTAGCTTCTGTGTCTAGAAGCTGCTTTGTGCCCACCTGCAGACCAGCTCCTGCTGTCCTGCTGGGTGTCTTCACTGATGTGTGTGCATGCCTGCACCGAAAGCATGCACACATAAAACTGAGGTTGTAGTAGAGAGACTGATGCTGCAACAACACATCCTAATGATTCCTGTTTTCATCCTGGTAAACCTCTAATCAGCCTTTAATATTCTCCATAATTGTTTTTTAATGTGTTTCAAGTTCAAAATGAAAATAAGAGATGAACATTTTGACGCTTAAGTTGTAGTAATTGATATCTTTGGTTCCCTTTTCCTCATTAATGTACCTTCATTATTCTCCCTAATGTGTAATCTTTATGTTTGTGTAAGTTTAAAGTACAAAATGAACAACAGGAAGTTTCTGACTGGAAAAATCTGAAATAAATCTAGAGTCATTTTTGTGAGGAATCCATCAGATACTGGAACTCAACTGTCTAATATTCATGCTGAAACGTTTCAATTGTTTTGATTTTGATTTAAAAATTTTCTTTCATATTTTTCATTCTTTTTTCTTAAAGACTTAAAAAATAAATCGAAATGAAACAAAAACCCCTGTGTTCATTTTCCTAATTGAGCTTTTTTGTAACCTTCAGAATTCTGTTAGGCAGACCACGCCCACTCTTCAAACTAATGCTGAAGTATGAACGCCAGTTCTGCTGTTTCAAAAACATTCCCGTTATAAGGAAGTCAACAGGAAAACGCCTCTTGGCTACTCTGTTGTTCAAAGTCAGATCCACCCCTCGCTCATCACATACGGTGTGAAATCACAGGAAAAACAAACTAATGGGCTGCGTCACCGTGGTTACACCCATTTATGTTTGTATTAAGCTTCTCAGAGTAATTAAAACCACCTTCAGCTGCAATATTAAAGCGACGCAAATGTTAAGATATCAAAAATTATGATCTCGTCACATCACAAATATGAGTCTTGAGTACAATAAGTACTGCTGTATATCTTCATCCTACAAGTTTTAGGATTATGACTTTTCAGCATCAAAATAAATGTAAATGTCTTCTGTACACACACTGTACATAAATGATGGACACTGTGATGTCACTCATTGGTTAATGAAGCCTCAAGCTGCCTTGAGAAGTTGGAGGTGGTGAGAGAGGGACGTCGTGAGGCCAACGACGCGACCTGCAACGAGCACACTCCCTCTGAACTTCCTGCTTCACTTAGTTTGAGCTGAATACCACAACTGATAAACTTGTGAAATCATTCAGACTTAATCAGGTCACTGAGTAAAGGAGCAGCGTTCAATAAGCACAAGTCTTTCTGTTCTCCAATCAGAAGGTTTGATGCACTTGTGTGTTGGCTTCAGTTCAGAAACAAAAACTATGTCCATCACTTTACACCAACCACCTTCTTTTTTTTTTTTGTTAATGTTCTGACTTCCTGTGAGCCCCTCTCACTGAAGCTTATGTGTTGAATGTTTACAGAAGGAGGCGCTCCATCCATGGTTAAAAGCATTTCAAACCCATCTGAGTTTGCAACAGCTGGTGACAAAATCACCACACAACAGATTTATCTGCAACATTGTAGTTACATTATAGAAGATCGTAACTATGACTACGACCATCAAAGTCATCAAAAAAGAAACATTATTACAAGTTAGCATCATGAATACGTTACATGTAGCATTTAAAACATTAAGCGAGCACAGACAGCCTCTGTGGGGTTCCACTCCTCACTGGTGGGTCACAGCTCTGAAAAACTCCTGGAAACGCCCCTGCTGTTGAAACTGGGGCACCTCTTAATACTCTTAATGCACCTGTTTACCTCCATCCTATGATAGTAAACTCCACCCACCTCATACTCTCTATGCTGCTTCTGTTTGTCTCCAGGGCAGACCCATCTCCACCCACCCATCCACCCTCTCCCTGCCACTTCCCCAGGTGGATGCAGATGTAACCAGAGAGTTCAGAGTCTGATTTGTGTTTGTATTCCTGACAGAACTTTCGGAGGTGTTGCGGGTACCCCCTGCTGAGGAGCGCACCCCTGCTGAGGAGCGCACATGTGCGGCAGCAGCTTTGAAGCTGGCGCTCAGGGCGGCACGAGGCTCCAGCCCTGCACCTGAATCCAGGAGCTTTAATCCCACGTTAAGACCTCCTCACGTGGGCACGACCTGAGCTGTGTGACAGTAAACAGCGGAGTGGGAGGAGACAGGGTAGGGGCGGAGCCAGCGTGTCTCGTGCCCGGTTAGTTAGCGGAGCAGCTCGCGGGCAGCAGACAGAGGGATGGTCTCGCGCTCGGCGCTGGGCAGCAGCAGGTCATGTTGTCCGCGCGGCTGGAGACCTGCCCGCGTGTCACCTTCAGCGGAGCGGGAACTGCGGCGGTGAGTGCCCCCCTCGCTCTCTCTCTCTGTGTCCCCGCTGTCTGCGGAGCTCTCTCTACCTCTGTCCCCGCTTCTGTTGCTGTCCTTGGTGTCCGTCCTCTGTCCTCTCCGCCTCTCTGTGCTGCTGCTGCTGCTGCAGACTCTTCTTATTCTGCAACACTTCAAAGATATTTCAAGGCTTTAATCAGAGAAGCGTCAACAGAAAACTGACACAAATATGTTTTTATTTCTGTTTTATTTCAGCCAAATCTCATTGAGTCATCTCTGTTTGAAATAACCTGTCACAGAAATAATTACAGATTTATTTTCTGTTATAAAAATCTATCAGCTGCTTAGCTTTTTTATGTTATCGTCACATTTGTGCAAAAGTCAGTGCACTTTTGTCTCCTGCTGTAACATTTACCCGAGGGCACAGGTGTGCTCAGGAGCATGAAGCATGTAGGAAACAGGATGTTGTTCCAGTATCTGACTTTTAATGTCGTGCAGTGATGTAGTGATGTCCGTCTGTGTAGAGTTTTCAGCGAATGTGAGCTCTGATGGTTATAAAACTGCACCCAGCTACACTTTCATTTCTTTATTAATAACTCTGATAAATTTAATTTCTTCTTAATAAACTTAATTTCTTTTCTCAATGGTACCTTAGATTTGATCATGTTTGGGTGATTCGTGGATCTCTGTTTATTCATAAAGACTTTGATTTATTTTGATGTAAAATTTAAAAAGTCATATTAATTGTGGCTCCAGCTGAAGCTCCTCGGGTGGCTGACGCGTCTCCATTTCTACAAGACGATCCAGAAAACAGCTGAAAGTTCACACACACGCTCAGCTCTCAGACCTGATGATGTGCACTCGTTTACCTGCTAAACACGGTCGTCGCCGTCCTCCTGATCAATACATTTGTGATGTTTCGGAGACTAAATGATTGCAAACTTAGTTATTAACAGATAGTTGTAGTGCTGGAAGAATTAGAGCAAGTTTAATAACTACAGCTAATAATTAAAATAATCACGTAGTGATTTACAAAACAAAACAAACAGTTATTATTTTTGACTCTTTTTCTTAAATAAAACATTATTAAGATTAAGATATAATGATAATGTTTATAATGTTTGTTTATGTTGTGTGACAGTAAACTGGGTGTTTTTGATGATATAAATATATCAGGCATCAGAAAATATCAGAACCAATAAATATGAACAGTTTTAAGAATTTACTTTATTAATGCCTGAAGATTATGTGATTGCCCCAAGACATAGGAACAGTAACCGACTGAAATAAATAAAATACAAATAAAATTACAAAATATATACAAATAGCTCAATTCTAAATATCCACAATGTTGCAGAGATTAAATATCTATGATTCACATCGTACTCCAAGCTGTTGTTACTCTGATCTGCTCCTTACTTAATTTTACCCTTCAAAGTAAAAGTCCTCGCCTAAAAGTCTGTGGTGTAAGATGTACATAACGTGCATGTTTGGTTTGTACTTTATTTAACCCAAATAGTGAGTTTCTTGTTATTGTCATGCAATAAAAAGAAAATGATCCAAGCTGCAGCTCTCACACACTCTTTCAGATGCACATGCACGGCAGACGTTGTGGTAATGAATCAGCCAATCAGCACATTAGACAGAGCAGCTCCACAGAGAGAGAGGGTGGTGGAGTGAGCAGTATTTAAGGCGGGGGGCTGCTGTGTGGTGTCAGGTGTCGGCTCGTTGTCATATCTCTTCAAAAATAACTTCGGCGTGTCCAACGGAAACTCTGAGAGGGCAGAAACACCCCGAGCACCCACACCTCTGCTCTCTGTAAAAATAACCTTCAGTGGAAGAAGGGGCGGGGCTAAACAGACAGTATAGAGCCAGAAGCCTCCTCTTTTGTGCTCTGATAACCTGGATCCTGGTGTTTTATGAGTCCTCTGAATGTCTCTCTGTGTCCCACAAAGAATCTGGCTCGAGGACCCCAGGCGAGGATGGGCGGGGAGGCGTGTCCCCACAAGCTGGGCTCCACCAATCACCTTCGGCTTCTCCTCTACATCCTGATTCCCACCGTGAGCCTGCTGGCCGGCCTCCTGCTGCTCGTCCTGGTCCTCACTGGTAGAGACACACACACAAACACACAGTCTGGCTGATGACCTCTGAGGTCAGAGGTGTTCTCAGTGACCTGACAAAGACTCCACCCTTCACTTTCAGTCTGGACACGACCCTGATATCACTCCATCCCCCTCCTTCTCTGTCCTCTAATCTCCACCCGTCCTTTGTCTCTTTCCTCCCTTTTCCCTTCTTTTTCCATCCCATTCACACCATCATTCCTTCTTTTTTATTTGTCTTTTATTTCATTATTTCTCTTTTTACGTTCCTCAGTTTAGTTTCCTCCCTGCTTCCATCCGTTTCCATCCCTCCGTCGCTGTTAAGTCCTCCTCCTTTCCCCTGAGTCATCCTCCTTCTTCCTTCATCCCTCCTTTCTCTCGATGAAGAGGAGCTACAGAGGGATAAGGGGGGAATGATGGAGGCACAGAGAACAGACTGATGTGTGTAGGAGGAGAAGTGTGCATGTGTGTCACCATGACAGCAGGGAGTCCCTCAGCCAATCAGCATGAGGATCAGACTGAAAGGATTTCAAATATTTACGCAGGTAGTAAAAGAGACGCGGCAGCATCTGTCCATCCAGACCTTCACCATCTTCCTCCTCCTCCCCCAGTCTTCACCTCCATCACCTTTTCAGCCTCCCCCCTCATCGTTTCTCTTCCTCCACTGGATTTTCCTTCCTTTCTTTATTTTCTCGTGTCTGCTTTGATGATTCATTTCTTTCTCAAATGTATTCGATTCAGTCTTATTTCTCTTTCTGAACACACACACACACACACACACACACACACACACACACACACACACACACACACACACACACACACACACACACACACACACACACACAC